TCCTTCATATCTTGGAACTCTGGAACATCTTTCTTTTCAGTCCTTTACGAGAATTCTGGCTCACTCCCTTCCTTGGCTAGGTTTTCACTTGGTGCTCTCTAGATTAGTCAGTATCACTGTTACATGAAACTAAAGTCCACTAAACCAATTTTCCCTATGTCTTTAAATCTCGAATTATTCAAAAATATTGTTTGAGCCAGGCATTGTGGTGGACATTTATAACCTCAGCCTTCTGGGAACTAAGGCCAGGAGGATTCTCAGGTTGAAGCTCAACCAGGGCAACTTAGTGACAGTGAGATCCTGCCTCAAAACAAAATTTTTAAAAATTTTAAAAGGGCTGAAGATTTAGCTTGGTGTAAAGGTCATATTTCTGTCCTTCTTACCACCAAAAAAAAAAAAAAAAAAGAGTAGGTAATATATTCACATACTTTTAAAAAATGTATGTAAAGTTATCCATGAAAAATCTCCCTTCCTCCCATGAAGGTAATTCCAATTGCTTGCAAGAAATTTCTAGGGTTTCCTTATGCAAATACAAAAATGCATATGAATTTCCTTCCTTTTGTTGCAGGCAGCTGAGTTAGTAAAAATCTTATAGGCAGTCAGACAGGGCTAGATTCTCAAAGGAGCCAGTGCAAAAGCCCAGTACTTTGCAACTGTGGGAGAGACAGACACTTCCTGCTATGGGCCAGGCCTCAAGATAAAAGATCAAACAAGTGCATCCATATCCTAAGGACTAATATTCTAAATAGTTCCCTATCACCTGAAGTCTGGAATCACCATTCTAACCCCCTAAGGGAAAGTTACCGCTAAGGATGCCCACTACTTGTGACTAGCTTCCCCATTTGTCCCCAATTTAATCAATTTTACTTGAACTGTTAATCTTATTGGCTAACTATAGTTATGTCCCACCTTATGCCCATTGCCTTGTTCCCAGTTTTCCCCACTTTCTCACTCCATGATTTTACTCTATAAAAGTCCGTGGAAAAGTCAAGAGACCTTGGCAACCCACTCCGAACCTCTTCTGTGTCTCTCTCAGACAGAAGCTATCTTTCTCTCAATAAATATATTCTATTCTTAACCTTCATTATTCCTAAAATTCATTCTTCGATTTTAGAGAACATGAAATCTCATGGACATAGTAGGTCAGGAGTATCATTCCCCTATATCACTTTTACTTACAAAATATGTTCTTCCACTATTCTGAATCACATGTCCTGATCATCTATTGTTATGTAACAGATACCTCTGACTGTGTGGCTTTAAGCAGTTTATTATCTCTTAGTTCAGTGGGTGGATGGGCTTCAGCTGAGTGGTTCTTGCTTAGGCTTCTCAAGCATGGTTGCAGTTGGGAACCAGCTGGTACAGAAGTCTTCTGAAGCCTTGGCTGGACTGGACACCCCAAATGGCTTACAAATGGCCAGCAATTGCTGCTGTTAATGGGAACTCTGCTACCAGACTCTCTCCCCATGAGGCTTGGATTTCTCACAGCAAGTGCGTTGGGTTCTGAGTGGGCTCATCCCAATCTCAAGAGTTTCAAGATAGCAGGAAGTGGAAGCTGCCAGCCAATTACGAGTTATTTACAGAACTGGTGAAGTCATCTCAGGGTATTCAATTGGCCCAAAGTGTTCACAAGGCCTGCTCTGATTCAAGGGACTAGAGAGATAAACCCCATGTCCTAATCAGGGAGAGGCAAGATCACACTGAAGATGAGCTTGGGGGACAGGAGATGCTGTGCTGGTCATTGTTAGAAAATACAGAGAACAACAAACCTGCAGTAATTTTCTGCTCTTCCTAATCTGCGTTTTTACTAATGTTCAGCCCTGTGTCTGCTTCCACTGCTACAACTAATTCGGGCCCTCCTCATTTTGTAGCTAACTGATTGTCAGAGCTACCTTTCTGCTCTCCAATATCCTCTTATTGCTAATAGCCAGTAACATCTGATTACTGACGGGAATGTTTTCTATATGGAAATATGAGCTAGAAACTGGAGCTCTGGCTTTGATGTCATTCTTCTAAGTGAAAATCAGAGCTGGTACCTCAGCCTTTAGTAAAAGTCACAAACTTCTGTATAATGGTCTTGTGTGACTTCTGGTGTTGGCATATAGAACATGTGTAGTTTTAAGCTACCAATATTGCAAAATCAGGGGATTTTATATAAAAATCCAGGTTAAGCTCCTTAAATGAGTTCCATTATATATGAAAGTATTCATTTATTGAACTAATATGTTCTCAATATTAAACAAAAGAGGAGAAAACTACTGCCTATTGGGAGTGTAATTCTGATTATAGGGAAACCAACAACAGACAAGTAAAATATATAGACCGTGAGATGCTGATATGCTTTGGAGGGCATGGATAGGTGGGAAGGGCTGCAATTTTAAATCACATGGTCATGGAGGCCTCACCAAAATGGTGACATTTGAATGTTAAAACAAAGTGAAATGAGTAAGAGAGATGTGGATTTCCAGAACAGTGATATACCATATTGGTAGCCACTAACCATATGGCACTATCTAAATTTATATAATTAAAATTAAATGAAGTTAAAAATTCAGTTCTTCCGTCACACTTGCCACATTGCAAGGGCTCAGTAGCCACATGTGGCAATGGCTGTAACACAGATCGAAAACATTCCCGTCAGTGTAGACAGTGCTGCTGGATGGCATGGCAAGAGGGTACAGCAAGTGCAGAGGTGACTGTGGGGTGGCTTGATTTGAAATAGTGGCATAGTTCTTCTGTTTACATATTTCTGCTTTTCTCTTAGACTTCCTATTTTTATGCTGATACTACATGACCTCTGCCATTTAGCATCTAAACCGAAGCCAACTTTTCAAAGGCACTTATTAAGTTTCAGATACTTGGTGAATGCCCTAGAAGAAAGTCTAAGCTCCTAGGCCTTGCATAGGAATCCTATACAAGAGTGGAATAAGACCAAGAACATGGGCAAAGAGTCAGCGCACCTGAGTTTTGTCTGGAGAAGCTGGTTCATGCGTATCTTTAGGGGATCACTGTGCACAAGTCAGAGCTGTGCCTTGCATCACAGTTCACCTGAAGTGTCCTGCAAGACCTCTTGGGGGAGGGGGACAGATATCAACCCATTTGTTGGTATAGTACAGTAAAATTTGGGGTATTTGGGGGACAGTGTCCTCTGGGGCTCAAAGCAATAATTACCAACAGGGGCTGAAGTATTTTAAAACTGGTGCACACAAGTGGTATGAAAAATATTTGGGATAGGTATTTGGAAACTTCAGTGGAGTATAGAGTTTGTTATAGGGTCCTTCCCAGGAAATGCTCACGATTTAAATGGCGGGACTTAGGTCCTTCTGCAGTGTCAGCAGCATCTACGCTGGGGTTTCCTCCTCCATCTTCACTATGTTTTCATTCCTCCCCCAGCATAACATTTTCTCAGTGTCTAGAGGTCCTTGTGACATCACCTTGGTATTTTCATCACCAGTTTTTCTCATCTCCTTTCTGTGTAGCTTAATCTTCCCTGCTCAGCCTCAAGGCACAGTTCAAACTTTCCTCCATTCATTGGTTTATCTTTGCTCAGCCCCGGGGCCAGAAACAATTCTCCCTCCAGGGCTGAGGGAATATTTATTAGTAACATTCAGCAATTAGCAAGAGTGAGATTTTTTTTCTGTATATTTATTACACCTAGGTCAAATCTTTTATTCATTAAGTGCAGTGATCCAGGACAACAGGTCATTCTTCCTTTTCCAAACTCTCTTTTGCTTTCTCTTTCTTTGTGAGACAGGTCTAGCTATGTAGTTCAGGCTGTCTTTAACTCCCTATGGAGCTCAGGCTGACTTTGAACTCACAGCAATCCTCCTGCCTCAGCCTCCCAAGTACTGGGATTACAGGCATGCACCACCACACTCAACTCTTCCTTTTTCTTACCTGGCCACAGTTCCATAGATATTTGCCAAGGATCTGGGGTAAGAAGGCCTAAGGCAAAATGGTAAACTAGCACAAGGCCCTGACTTCCTATAACCCTTGTTATTTATTAAAACACATTTTGTTATTGTTGTTTTTTGAGACAAGATTTTACAATGTAGTCTGGAATTTGGGGCAATTCCTCCTGCCTCAGCCTCCTAAGTACTGGGATTACAGGCGCCACCGCCACACCCAGCTCTAAAACATTTTAAATGTGAATCAGTTTATTTAACTTTTGCAGGTCACAGGCAAAAAATGGGAACCTTCTGGTCAGGAGTAAAAGCTCTGGCTGGCCCTTGTAGAAGACAGATTGCCCTGGGGTATAAGAGGGAGTTTAGAACCCTGGTGGAATACTTTGGCTCTCAGGGCTCCCTAAGCCCTCCTGGAACGGTATAGTAAATAATGAATCACACCACAGAAGTCCAGGAAGGCCTTCGCAGTTTACTAGGCACATTCATCACGCAGGTTTTCAGGACAGGTCAGGTTCCAACAAGTTAAACAGAGATTCACCTTCAGGTCATCAGACTTGGACTGACTTTGTTAAACACTTATCATAACCAAGAAAAATTTCCCCCCTCACCTTCTAATGACGGATGTGGCCAGAGGGCCTAGCGTGGGGGCAGAGCGCAGAGCCGCACAATGCTTCCTGGGAGCCCAAGACAGAGCCTATGTTGAAGGTCTTTGGCAAGAACAGTTTCTAGGAATAAAGATTATCAAGTGAGCTAAAAAGGGGGGAGAAAGATAGACTTCTCCACTCCCTCCATCCAAGTCCTGGTCCAGCCTGGTGGCCAGGAAAAGCGCAGTGAGAGGAGACTTTTCACCCCGGGGGGTCCGGGTGGGGAAGAACAGCGGGCTAGTGGAGGATCCAGGAGGCCGCACCTGTGCAGGGTCCCGCGCCCTCGAGCGCGCCCGCGGCAGCTCCCCGCCCGCTTCCGGGGTGGGCGTGTCCGGGGAGGGGGGCAGGTCTGCGGCCGAGGTGAGCCGGGGGCGGGGCGCACCTGGGCGGGGCGGGGCTGCGCGCGGGCTGCGCCTCTCGGGGCCGGGCGCGCGCCGCTGGGCAGTGTTGGCAGCGCGCCGCGAGCCGAGCCGCAATCGCGCCCTCTCGCTGCCTGGCGAAGGTGCGGACGGCGCGCGGAGGCGAACGCGGTGGAGAGGAGCCGCGGGCGCCGGAGCCCCCGGCAGAGCATGAGGATGGCCGTGGGCTCCGTCAGGATGCAGCCCCCGTGCGAGAGCCCGGCCCTGGCCGCGGCGGCGGCGGCGGAGGTGGGCAGCCCGGGTGCCCGAGAGCCGGAGCGCGAGCAGCCGCCCGCGTCGCTGCGGCCGCGGCTGCGGGACCTCCCGGCGCTGCTGCGGAGCGGGCTCACCCTGCGAAGGAAGCGGAGCGCCGCCGGGGCCCGGGTGAGTGGTGCGGCCCTGGGGAGGCGGCGTCTGGAAGTTGGGGAGGTGACGAGGGGGGCGACTGGGGGCCACACACGGCCGGAGAGGGCCTGGGACGGCGGGACTGGGGGACCCCTCGAGGAGCGACGGTTCCCCCCTCCTCGCCCTGGATGCACCTGACTTGACCCCAGGGGTACCCGGGTTCCGACTGCAGGACCGGGAGTCTGTGCGTCGCCCCTCAGGGGGGAAGCTGCAGGTGTCCGGGTCCTGACAGCCCGTGACTGCAAGCCTGGGGCTGCACGAGCGGGCTCCCAGCTTGCTAGACGCGTGCGACGCGTGCGCTTCTTTTGGACGTCCCATGGCCAGCGAGGGGCATCCGCACTGGCTCCAGCAGCCGCCGTTGCCCTGGGAGAGATCCAGGAGTTGGAAGTTCTGGGGGGACTTCTAGTTCCTGGGGTCCGGCGCTTAGAGCTGTGGGACGACCCCTTGAGCAGGAGACGTCATGCCCCCAGGAATCTTAAATATTGACTTCTTGATGGTGTGTACAGATATGATTTCCTGCTGGTGCTCCTCGTTGCGTTCTGAGTGCACCTAATAACCTGAGCAGGTCATACTTGTTTTTTGTGGTAAGGAAGCGGAAAGTCCTGCTGATTGTCACCAGGGCTTCGGGACACCGGGCAGACTTAAGTCAGACTTCCCTGTTCACCAGGACTGGGGACACTTTTGCTGGGTCCGCCTCAATTTTTAAAAAGCATTTATCATCATGAAAAACTAATCTTTACTGAGGAATTGCAACAATGTAGATGATTTGTTGCTGTAATTTAAACCAAAATAGCGGTTGTTCTTTTTAAAAGATTTTAGTGGGAAACTTTGAGTCCTTACAAAATGGTTTGCAGAAGCTGGAGTGTCTTGAGGACAGGCTTGTTTTGGTGCAGCTTCCTTTGGATGGGGAAGGGTCTGAATCGATGCATGGCTTCTTCTCCAGGCTGTGTTCCTCCTCTCCTAGGTACTTCTGGTGGAGGACTGTCCATGGACCACCTCAGAGGGCTGCTCTGAGGATTAACTGGGTGTAATTAGGAGACTTTCAGAACTGTCCACAGGTGATTAAATACGTGGCATACAAGGACTGCCTGTGAAGGAAGCCAGAATGTGTCCCCAACATGCGGTGGCTAAGGAAACACAAGAACCAGAGTTACAGACTTTACAAGAATCTAGGGAAAAGTAGGTCAGATGGTGCTCCTGTTTTCTTTGACAGTTACTTTCTCATGGCACGAAATACTGAAGACATAGGGCAGCCAGGCAGTCTGTGACAAGGACTGCTTAGGTGTTCTGTGGAGTTGTAGTGTTCATCTGCATTGACTTGTGTCTCTTGTTGTCTGGGATGATGTTGTATGCTCTTTCAAAAGACATAGTTATTCAAAATTTTCTTAATTACTCTGAATGTGGTTACCTCAAATAACATGTATGTTGTTAGTCTTTCTTTGATTCTGATACTATATTGGTTGTTTTGGGGACTTAGGTCTCCTCCTTCGTTAGCTTTGAAACTACTGTCATGATTTTAGAACTTGGCCTTCAAAGGAGTAGAAAGAAATTTGAAAGAAAGGGAAACAAATGAAATTAGTGCCTTTATTAGGTGGCTCTGGGTACCAGAATAAAATACTGTACAATGAGTGACTTGAACAACAGAAATGTATTTTCTCACAGTTCTGGAGGCTGGAAGTCCAAGATCAGTGTGCAGGCTGGTACGGTTTCTGGTGAGGACTCTTCTATTGGCTTGCAGGTGATTCATGCTGTAAGCTTCTATGGCTTTTCCTCACTGAACTTGCAGGGAGAGATCCCTCTTTCTTCTGATGAGGACCCTAAATCCTGTCAGGAGAGCCTCACCCTCATGACCCAATCTAATCCTAAATGTTTCTAAAATCTCTTCTCCAAAAGCCATCCCATTGAGGGATTGGGCTTCAACATAAGAATTTTTTGTGAAACAATTATTCAGTCCCTAACAGTAGTTTGAAAGAAAGAGAAAACCAGTTAAACCATGTTTCAGACAGGTTGACTGGTGACTTGTGTGCATGTGGGGTTGGCTGGGTGGCCTTTTGATTAGGGAGATGATATTAATGCAAAACAATTTCATGGCTGCTTTAGATCTGCTTGAGGACCTTTAAATGTGTCCAATGGACTGCACCTGTAGGTTGGAGCCACATAATCTCAGAGACAAGTTACACAAATTCATTGCCACTGGTTAAAAACAAACAAGTCTATATGTGCACAAGCTGGTGAAGTTTTCAACTCTTGTATTGACCAAGATACAGTTTAGAAATATGTATGGCTCTTGTCCATGCTGCTTTAGCTGCCCACAAATTTGTACAATCTTACATCAACTCATTTCTTTGTAGATTGTGTTGCTCAACTCAGTTATATTAAATAGCAGGCTATCTCTTAACTGGGAAAAATTAAGCTTTCATTGGCTAATTCAGCAGAGTTCCTTTGTTCCTGTTTAGTCACTTCTAATTCTATTGAATTCACCATGCATACTGATTAAGACGTTAGAATAAGCAGAGAAAAGATTAAATTTTGCTTTGTAGGAAGACTTTAGCCACCTCTGAAAAATCAGTGGCAAGTTAAGGTACAGTTTGTAATCTCACCAAAGCACTAATAATATTTAAAAATTTATATAATGGGGTTATAAGAGATTGATATAATAAACCCCAAGATTTATTTCTCTTCCCCACTTTGTGTGTATTGTGTATGAGGTGCTTTTAAAGCAAAAGCCTAAACATCATGTCATCTTACATATGTTTCAGTTCACATCTCTGATAAGGACATTAAACATACAAAACCTTCTATGCCTTGTTCAAACCTAAGAATATTAATAATTCCTAAATATAAAACTCTCAAATTTTCTCAAGGGTGTCTTTCTGCTTGAAATTGTTGGAATCAGGAACTAAATGAGATCTGCATGCTGCACTTGATTTAGACTTTTAAGTTTATTTTATGTCTTCACCTTAATGTTTTTATATTGTTGGTTTTCAGGACAGAGTAGATCATTTGTGCAGTACCATATTGCAGTTGAGGCTGCTTGTTTACTTGTGGTGCCATTTAACTTGTTCTTCTATTCTTCATGTTTCCTATAGTTTGGCAGGAAAATATGAACCTTGATTAGGTTCAAGTCAAAGCCAAGTATTCTTCACAGGTGGAGCCTTGGAAAGTCTATTGTATCATATCACAAGACAGCTAATATCTCTCTTTTTTTTTCTGAGACTTATGAGTTCCACTAGTATCACCAGGCCTTTCTACCTTTTACCTAGTGACTTTAGGCTTAAGGCATTGTCATTTCATTAGGATGTACAAAATAGTGACAGTCTATAAATACATCATTCCTCTTACATTCATTAATTGGAATGTTGTCTGTAAAGAACTTTTTCTCATGAATTATTTGGGTCTTTTGAAATTCAGATTGTACAGGAAAGCTGAGGAAAGGCTTGATTTCCTTCCCTCTATCAATTTCTGTAATACTGATTTGATAGCTTAATAACTTCCACTGATAACCAATGAGTTCTTTTTTTTAAGTATTGTTAAAAATGTATGGGTCAGAATATGTTTGTTTCAGTCCTTTGTGGCAAATGTTGTCTGTGACCCACGGGTTGCCCTGCCTCCTGTACATGTTCTGAATTACCTCCATAGACTCAAAAACCTTTCTTTCCAGCAGAAAATACCCTAAGCTTATCTCTCTTATCCATTTCTTGGCTCTAGATCTGACATCAGCCTGTTTTTCAAGGATCACTGATTTTTTTTTTTTTCTGAAAATGGTTCATTTTCCCTAACTTGTCTCTTTCTTTGAGGCTGCATTATTTTTATCTTGGTCATAAGCCTCCCACCAAATTATATTTTATTTCTTTTTTAATCCTTCTCATCCCGATGTTTCTAAGACTGACACCACCCCCAACACCACCATAAAATAGCTTTTAACAACTGTTACCTCTTTCTATATATGCTATGAGAATGCTAGGACTGATTTAATTTGGTCTTTGGCTGCTGTGATGTTTCTTACAGAGCTCTATCACTGTCTTCAGCCTCATGACATCTAGTTCATTTATAGTAGCTGGATGATGCACAGTGGAGCCAGATTGACTGTCTACAGCACAGTCCTTCAGCAATGACCAGCCTTTAGATTAGACGTCAGGATGACTTCAACCCCTTGCTTTAACCAGCTTTTGCTAGGCAGTTGCCTGGTGGCAAGCGCTCTTCAAAATGGAGAAACTGGGAATGTTCAGTGGGCCCTCAGCCTGCAGCAGTTTATTTTTATGTAGTCCTTTTCTCCTGTGATCCCTTCTCCAACAGGAACAGAGGTGACCCTTTCTCTCCATCCACGCTGTAGCACTCTAAGTGTAGCAACTCAGTTATCTCCTCCACCAGAAACTTTACTTTGCCGATTGAGAAGTATGTACTGCTCCAGGTTATACCAGAATACCCAATATATTTTAAAACGTGTGTTTGACAGAGTGTATAATTTGTTCTTTGCATTTAAGTTGAAATCGGTAGTTAACCCATCATAGGACTTAATAATGTGCCATTCATATTTCAATGCAAATTTCATTTAACTCCTACAACAAACCTGTAAGTTAGACGCTGTTAATTGCATTACACAGATGTGGAAACTGAAACGCAGTTTTGACTTGCCCAACATCACAGTGTGTGGGTGGGAGAAGGAAAGTTTGATTACAGGAAGCCTGGGTTCCACAGAGTCCAATCTGTGCTCTGAATTTACTGTCTAGTTCTCCTCAAATGTTCTGAAGGCAAAGGTTCTATTTACTCTAAATTGCATAGCCTCGGAATGCCTGCTGATAATACTTGCCACTCTGAGAGTGGTCAATAAATGTTGTTGATAATGCTAGACTTTACCTTTTCTTTCACTCTAGCTCACAGAAGCTGTGTGTGTGGACAAGGGAGTGAGGGGAATTGTGGTGATAGGTGAGTGGTGACCACACTTAAAAACCACACTCAGTGCTTCCTAAGTAAAACCA